CTAGATAGTATGATATCCCCAAGATCATGAATATTCTCCCCTGATATACATACATGAACAAATGTTTGAAAAACAATTTACTTGTGCTTTATCATGCATGTGTGAATCAAATATAAACATATGCATGTGTTCATTTATGAAAATGCAGACTTGGAATATTTTATTTTGGAATTCTGTGGTATTCTCCATGGATTTTATATGCTGGAAAGAGGAGAGTTTTCCCATGGCAATTTAATACAGAATTCATCATTTTGCTTCACTCATATGATTTTATTATAGTTTGCAATTACTCTGAACAATGTGGGGTGGAGAGAAGGAAAAATATTTAGTCAATTATTCAATTCACTGTCATATTGTCTTCACTAATTTCAATCAAAACTGGTTCAGTCTAGTCTACTAAACAGAAGAACTGGGATGACAGCAGATATTTGAGGGACTGCCAGAAGGAACACAGGCTCAACCTATTCTCCAAAGCATTTGAGGGCAGGACAAGTAGCAATGGATGGAAACTAATCAAAGAGAACCAATCTAGAACTAAGGAGAAATTTTTGGCAGTGAGAACAATTAACCAATGGAATGGCTTGCCTACAGAAATTCTGAGTGCTCCAACACCGGAGAAGAGATTGGACAACCACTTGTCTGAAATGGTATAGAGCAGTGGTGGCAAACCTATGGCATGGGTGCCAGAGGCAGCACTCAGAGCCCTCTCTGTGGGCATGCATGCCGTCGCCCCAGTCCTAGGCCTTCAGCTGGGTTTTATAAAACCTTTTCACTTTTGGCCTCCGCCGCTGTGTGCAAAAAAAAAAAAAAGTTTCAATTAGTCAATTTCAACTTCTTGCAGGGAAAAAAAAGATCTTGCAAAGTTGGAATTGATTGATTGAACTTTTTAGTCCCACCCAGTCTGCCATTATCACTGCAGCCACGCCCAGCCAATGGGCCACGCTCAGCCAATGGGCCACACCCACCTGGCACTCGACGACGCATAAGTGGGTTTGGGGTTGCAGTTTGGGCACTCAGTCTCTAAAAGGTTCGCCATCACTGATATAGAGTCTCCTGCTTGAGGAGGGGGTGGACTAGAAGACCTCCAAGGTTCCTTCCAATTCTATTATTCTGTTAAAATACTATAGAGCAGTTATTCTAATCTACTAATTAAGCAGACCCTGCCATGTCACTGGAATAACACTAGGAAGAAGAAGATTCTAATCTACTAGTTGTACATTAGAAAGCCACTATATTATTACAACACTTGAGTTGCTAAAACAGCAGAAAAAATGGACTGAACTGGTACCAAAATTGTGATAGAAGATTTGGTATGACTTTTCACTGAGATTTCACCATCTGCCCACCAATCTAAAAAGTTGGGCTCAAAGTTTATTAGCCCCTTCCCAGTTACAAAGCATAATAGTTTCTTCTGCACCAATTGCCATGTAACAAGATGGGACATCATAACTCTACTTGATTCTGCATGGCAAAAAATATTTAGTAGGTCTAAAGCACGGGTGTCAAACTTGCCACGTCATGTGACATGTCGCGACATATCGTGACTCTTTTTGCATTGCCAGCAATGGGATGGGGGCGGCTTCAGTATGATGAAACCGGCCCACGGGCCGGCAGTTTGACACCCCTGGTTTAAAGGGATGAAAATATAATTTTGATTAAAGTGTGCAGAAACAACTAAAGGAAACTGAAAGACAGTAAAGTATTTGAAAAGAGAGGCATTAGAAAGAAATCAGCAACCTGATTTTACACCTGACACTAGAATCCTGAGGTGAACCAACCTCTCCCACCCACTTGTGATAAGTCACTGTATCACAAATAACTAAATACAATCTTTAACTATTGGAAGTCTGTCTGGGGAATTCTGGGAGTTGAAGTCCATTTACCTAAAAGTGGCCAAATAACAATGTTCTATATAGTTCTTTGTGATATAAATGGTTCATTCTCAACTGTTTTTCATGGCATACAATACACGGAGATTGCCAGACCAGCACTGGTGATGCTTTTGTGATGTTTGTATTTTCCAATTAAATGAGAAGGTGGGTTGTT